GCTCACCCTCCGCGCTCTCCGACCCGGGGCCAGTCTTTTCACCCACCTGCTTCGCTCTGCGGCTTTCAACCGGCCGCTCCTGGAGAGAGGGTCCGCAGCCCCGAGGCCGCCCGAAAGCTCGGCGGCCGGGAAAGCCCTGGGATGCCCCGCCGAGACGCGCTCCGGCAGCTTCGCGGGATTCCCTCGGCCCTTCTGCTTCCAACTAGGGGGCTCTCCCGCCGCCCGACCCCTAAACGGCCATGACCCTGGGCATACTGCTCGACCCGGATCCCGGGGAACTGGGACCAGGACACATGACTCCTGAATGATGGGACCAGGAGTATTTTCCCGGAAAAGGAGCTGCGGGAATAATGAGGAGTGCAGATAAGATCTGACTTTCCTCCGGGCACATCCAGCTCCACTTGGGGGCCATCACTAGCCCCGGGTAACCCCGCTTTTCTGGGTTTGAGGGTAAAGCCGGGTCGGTGGCAGCCTTAACTCTTGCTTCCCACGGGGGCGCTATTCATACCTTGCTTGCTTTCTCTAGCCATCTACTTACCAGCTGGAAAACTATGCCAAGTTCCTCCTAGTGAAGCTGCATGGTGAACACACAGACCCTTCCCCACCTTCAGGACGCAGGAAAGACAATGAACCTGAACAATAATGACGGGGCCAAACAGGTTCCTAACCAAGGTTCCTGACAGGTGGAAATAAAGACAGCCTGCATAGTTGCAGGGCTTTCAGGAAAACAAAGTAGCTTAAAACACCTTTTCAAAAAGAATGCTGGCCATGATAATATATTTCAATCTGATACTTAAGAATTTCTGTAGATCAAGAAAGATGGCAGTTGAAGAAGTTTCAAACACATTTAGTTTTAAATATATCCCATTTAATCTTTGCTTTTGCTTTAGTTGTCATCTGTACTGGGATGTACTGTCCTCTTGGATTTCCTTCACGTGGACTTCCTGCTTCCCCAAGAACCTACCTTGTGTTCAGTGATCTTTTTGAAGTATCAGATGTTGGGTTGTAGTATGGAAATTGACCTTTCTGATACTGTCACCCTTCAACAAGAACCTGCCTTGTCCTCTGCACTTCTCTGGGCGTGTGGAGCAGGAACACTAGGATGAGATCACCCAGATTTCCACACCTTAATACAGTCCTAGCCAGTTTCCAAGCTTCAGCTCTGCACTTCCAGGGAACTGCAGAAAGCCCATTCCTTCACCTCCAGTCTTTCCATCCTCTCATACAGTTTACATCCTCTCCTGCAGATGACCGCCCCAAATACAACCCTGAAGATAATCATTTCCCTATTCACCAATGTTCCCAACTTTTCCATTCCCTATTGGCCTACTTCTATGCCATTGCATGCATGTATTTTTCTCTTTCTAGAATGTTTCTTTCCAGGTGCCAGCTCCAAATCATTGCAGCCCCTCCAAGGCCCACTTCACATTTTGCCTATTTTGTGACCCTTCCCCTTTGATATCTCCAGCACATTGTCTCAGCTCTCTTAAAAGGTATGGGCCACCTTCTGCTTCTTAGAGCATACATGAACTTCCTATGTATACATCCTACCATTTTAAGATGTAAGTTCCTTCAGGGCCAACTCAACACCTTTTGTTGTTGCTTTCCTTACATCTTACCCAAGGCTACACATGTGGATTCAGAGATAACCTATTCATCCAGTAAACATTTATTTTGCAGTTTTTGTCAAGCACTCAATATTTGTTAATGAACAGAATTTATAAAATAGTTTAAAACTAGAAAGATCTCTTAGGACTTATTTTGACTATGCCTAAATATAAATGGCATGATACCTTTCCTTAGGCATGGTGAAAATCCCCTTACTTTATTAGCCCTACATCAATAGTACTGATCACCTTGGTAGTAATTGAAATATTTGACAAGTATTGTCTAAAATTTTCTACCTTAAATTTCCATTAGATTTGAGAAAACTGAATCTGTGCCTACTATATGAGTGGTCATTAGTTAAAAGAGTAAATTATCTGTCAGGTAAAATAAAATGCTGCTGTATCCATTTCTGGAAGGCAAGGAGCTAGGAGTAAGTCATTCATCAATCCTGAGTCATGTCTGTGAGCATGCAATGATAAGAAAAAAATCTCTGGGGGAAAAGTTTAATTTTGCTTACTAAGTTACTCATGGCCCAAATGAGTTCTAGAGAACAACCCATTGTACACAGATTGTTTGAAATAGCAGGGTTCTCCATATGCACAGCTTGAATTCCACGTGGTGGTAGAGACTTGTATTCATTATCATCATGCAGCTCCATCCATAGCCTTAGTATATATAATTTGGATTTTCTTCATTTATTCTCCAAAGGAAAATTTAAATGATGTAGCTGAAAGTGTGATATGTTTTCACATTGCTTCTTAACTCATCTTTTTTTAACCTTTATTGAGATTTATAGAAATGTTCCTTGTGCTTGTATTTTGATTTCCCAGATTTATTTTGCGATACGATGAAATCACATTAAAGGGGAGAAATGTCTGTTTAGTATGTCAAAATGTTTCCCTTATAAAACTTCATAAGATTAATAACTCCAATACAAGTTTAACCTGAAATACCCTTAGGCATTTAAGTAGATAAATTTAAGCAAAATGTTTTCCCTCGTACGTCAATATAGGGGTATATAGGAATATATATATATATATATATACACACACACACACACACACACACACACACACAATATAAAGTATAAATAATAGGTTCTTGGGGTTTTTTGTTGTTAAATGTAATATTTGAAAAAAACATTAAGTATAATCTAGTTATACTGGCTGCACTTTATCAAGTTTGAGTTTGCATGAGCAAGTTGATTTACAGAGAAAGTCAGTATAGATTAGAAAAAAAATGGTAAAGTCAGAGGACAAATGTTTTTAAAAATGTTAAAAGCATAAAGATAATGATTTGCAAGTTTTGCAAAAGAGAATTTGATGTGATTTTTTTTAAAGTCAAATGGAAGGAAGCTTATAACATATTGAGGAAAATCAAACAAAAACAAAAGTGAATTCAAAAGGAAGAGTAGTTAAAAATGATGTGAACCCCATTAAAGGGAAAATATACAAACATATATGTAAATATGTGTGAGGGTGTGTACGTATACATTATGAAAGCATCTGTATTGACTAGCTAGAGTTAACTCTGAGTTGTTTTATTTGGTATAATCTGTTTATATCAAAAGATGGGTGAATATTAACCTTTCTCAAACATCAGCACAAGAGGATACATTTTGCATTTCTAATTATAAACCAATTTGTAAATAGATTGTGACTGTCTTCCCCCAACCCCAAATAAGCGCAGATACCACTCTGGTTTTTTATTGTGATGTAAGAAAGGAACCACTGAAGGATAACTAGAATTTCCCATATTCTTATATTAAATATGCCCTCTTTTTTCTCTTCTAAATAAAAATGTAGGAAAGCCTGGGCATTCTCAGCAATTCACAGAATCTTAGCAGCCACTGAAATCCTACACTCACACATTGCAGAGAAGGCTTGAAAAATAAATGAACCGTCTGTGTGTTCTTCATTGAAGAGATAAGTACTATCTCATTGATTCTTTTGGATTTAGTTGAGACAGATTTGGCTGTCCTTTGAAGATTTAAAGCTAGAGATAAGCTCCAGACTGACTGTATTTGTATTTTTTAAAACAGTTCTTGTTCTGAGTATGAACTTTTTGAAAAATGCCAGATGCTTGAACAAAGCATTTTTTTTCTGCCATGTAATAGTGTGAATATAAGTACTGTGTTTGAATTTACCCTTAGACATACTTCCAGATGTCATTATTGTCTAAGCAGTCTGACTTGGTCTTAGAAATTGGGAAGTTTAGGGTGAGGAGTTTCTGGGGACAGGGAAGCAGAAATTTTAAAAATATACCCCTTAGATTCTGAAATTTTTAATATGCTATTCTAGGGCATGGTGGAGCAAGGATTGGATTCCTGATCAAAACTGAGTCTTAATCTCTGTTTTGCATTTGTGCTGTGTAGTATCCAGTAAGTTTTACCAAATCCTTAAGACATGTCGGACATTAGACTAAATTGTTACAAGTATTGGCTACTAATATCATAATTTAATCCTAATGATAGTGCTTTAAGTTAAACACTATTATTATTATTTAGTTAAAAAATGGAGGTAACCAAACTCAAGAGAATTTAAATTACTAGTCCCAGATCATATGTTAAATGAAAGAATTTATAATTTGACCTAAAGCAGTGTGTCCTTAAACTTTTAAACTATCTTCTGCCTACTTCATCGCACACTGGTAAAATCTTTCTGTATGTTTCACCAGATTATCTCAAGTTCATGTGAAAATTTTGTATAAAATATTATCTTTCATTTTTAAAAATGAAATATAGTTATGATAGTGTGGTAGTTGCCAAATACAGCCTACCCCAGGGAAATAGGTAATCCTAAAATGGTACTAAAGGGGATGGAGATAGGAAATGTGTCTTTTGTATTCTAATAGATAGGTTGATAGTGATCTGATGGCTCACCAGTCATCTGCATGTCTGTCCTCTGCAAATTTGATCCTGCTATGCTGAGCACATTGGGGATGAGACACATTGTCAGGGACTAAAATGGAGTCTTTCGGGCTTACAAAGGGAAGGTACCTGTGTGGACCATGGGCTACCCAGAAGTCCTAAACAGCTCCAGATCACAAACAAACCATCAGCACAATAGCTCAGGTGCTCTTAGGAACAGAGTTCATTTAAAGCACTGTCTGTGCTTAAAAGAAAAAAGGGACTGGAATAATCCCCCACAGTAGAGGTTGTGCAACTGGTCACAAATGAAGGAGCTGCTTAGCAAATCCAAGGGCATTTTTCTCAGCCCCAGATTTCACATCATTATCAACAAAAAGTGGATTTAATAATATAATATGTCTCTGGCCATGCAAGGACCTTGTCTGTGAAAAGCCAAGATTAAAGCCATGACAAGCAAGATTAAATTAGTTGCCCAGTCTTTTCTGGGAAATTTCCATGTGGACATAGGACTCAGCAAAGCAATTGGGTTTAAATTGTGTCAGATACTCTTAACAGTGCCTTTGTTCCTTTCTGATGATGAGGACTGAGCTGACAATATGTTCAACAGAAACCTACTTCCAAAGGGGATATTAATTCTAAGTGATGAAAAAGTAATTCTGCCATATTTCTCTGTCCTCCTTGTAGTTAGCACTCAGACCTTCAGAATCTACTCTGCGGTATCAAGTAGAAATATTGATCATTTCCAGGATCTCTAGTCTGAAAACTATCATTTCCCACCACTTAACATGGGTTTAATGTTTTATCTAAATAAAACACATTATTATCATAAATAAAAAAAATAGTTTTTTTAGCATGGTATACCCACTAAAATTATATCAATAACTTAATAGAGTAGTTATTGGAAAGCATTTAACATTAACAATGAATAGATGTGAATAACTAGTAAAGATTGATAAGCATGTATATAAAGCTTACAAACTCAAATATAAGCACATATTGCCTAAAATGTACTGTTGCGATGAAAGAATGACTTTTTTCAATAATTTTTTAAAATTTTTGTTCTAAATAGTTTTACATGACAGTAGAAGGCATTTTGACACATTATATATGAATTGAGTATAACTTCTCATTCTTCTGATTGTACATGATGTAGAGTTACACCAGTCATGTAATCATATATGCAAGTGGGATCATGATGCCGGATTCATTCTATTTATCCCATCCCCTCCCTTCACTGCCCTCTGTCTAACCCAAAGTACCTCTGTTCTTCCCTAGCCCACCCCCTTATTGTGAATTAACATCCGCATCTCAGAGAAAACATTTGAATAGTGCCACTCTTTAGGTTGCTTAGTTATGACTAACATTGTTGGGTTATGGAATTTAATATCTATGATCATTATGGCACTCATTCAATATTTTATTTCATATAATATATATTATTGTCACATTTTATATAGTACTTGAAGTAAAATATTGTCAATGTACATTTTTTGTATTTGTTTCTGTTTAATAATCTAGTTTTTTTCAATAAAAAATGAAGACTTATTTCAACAAATACTGGTATGTATTTTAGAATACAAGAACCAGTGATTTTGATTACAATTTAAAATACAGACATTTAAAAAAATTTTAATAAGACCTGTAAATGACTATTTCTTACCTGCCTTGCCACATCTACTCTATGCATAACTAAATAAGACTTGCCAGATTCTAGCATTTGTCAAATTTCATTTTAGCTAATCACATTGCTTATAATCAGACACGGGAGAGGAGAATCAAACATGGAAAGTTAGCCTGTTAAACAAGTCTAATTAGCATGAAGGCAGTTTAATTTGACTTTACACTTCTGCAATTCAAGAAGTCCCCAAACTGCCCCAGATATCAATCATTTCCCATAGTACTGTGTTGATGGAGACATTTGTTTCACTATAGAAACAGATCTTCATGAGCTCTCATCAACCAAGGCTCATCCTATCATATTCTTTTCCATCACATGGGAAAGTGTGAGTACAATAGAAAATTAAACTCTCCAGGTTAAAAATTAAAAAAAAATACATCCCTGCTGTGGTTAATGCTGATTGGAGTAGAGGGATGAAAGCTTACTTGAATCAGAAAATTTCTCCTATTTTCTCTTTCACTGTACATTTTTACCTTCAAAGCTAGACCGCTGGCACACACAGAGTAGAGTGTCATTCTCTTATATTTTAAAATTAGTGAATGCAGTAGTCATAAATAATAGTTGACACAAAATAAGTCTAGTGTAATCCCATAATCTTTTTTATTATAAGTTGCATCAATTTGAAATATTTCTAACACTTGTATTCCTATGGTGTATCTTTAAAGTTTGATATTTTGCCCATGCCCAAAATTTATTTAAAAATTCAAAGGGTACCATAGAGGAAATTGTGAAATTATGTTTGGAGAAGAATATATTTAGATATAATATACAAAATGAAATTCACCTATTAAGAACTACAAACTTGAGAGTTTCCAGGCACAAAACTTTTAATACAAACTGCCAGATTATTGGCTTATGTAATTTTGCTATATTGCCTTTGGCAATTATCAATAGCTATAGAACAGGAAAACTAATGCAGAAGAAATTAACAAAACAAAAAAAAATCAAAACTAATGCAGGAGAAATTAACAAAAAAAATCAGAGTAGATAAATTGAATTAGTTAAATAGCTAATGCTGAGGAAGGAAGAAACACTTTTCTATCTCTTTACAAACTCTCCAGTTTACTCCCTGAAGCATGAGATTTGAGTGCCCATAGACAGTATTATTGTTTGGCTTGCAGAGCTATAAAGTACTCCTGGCATCCCTATTTGAAAAATGTGGCTGTTGACATTTAAATGACTCTGTTAAGATCTGACCTGGAAAATTACAGTGGACTCTGTGCACTTCATTACCAGAAGAATGTGGCCAGATGAAAAGGAATTGGAAAAGAGTAACACAAACAATTAAACAGGAGAATGGGAATTGTTCTACTAGAATGCATGAAGAAGAAAAGGAAAATACAGAAATACAGTGTCCAGTGAGTGATGATGGATGTATGGATGTAACATTAAGATTATATTCAGCATATTAAGTGTGATAAAACAGAACGATCAAAGATAACTAACAGGGGTGAGTAGGTGATTCTGGAGATTAAAACCTAGGGCCTTGTGCATGCTAAGCATACAGTCCAACCACTGAGCAGCACCTCAACCCCCCAATCCTTCTAATTTTAAAATATCTACCTTCATGAAATAAAAAATTATCATAAACTATTGTTCTTCTCTAGTCATCAAATATTGTAAGCCCTTTTTGCAAAGAAAATAAAGCAAAATGAAACAAATAATTAAAGAAGTAAGTTACTAATAGTATAGAATTATATTATTCATATTCTCAAGAAAAAATTAACTATTTTTCCTGATAATATTTGCAAATGTAAGGAGAAGCAAAGAAATATGATACCTTCTTTGATCCCTTAAATAATAAGGTGAATTACATGATGTATTTGGAGGCCTCATGTTCAAAATATATAGTTATGTCAGGTAATAAACATTAATATTATTTAAAAAACCAGGGTACTTATTGCTTTATCCTGAAACTATTTGTGATGTCAAGAATCAAAATTCTAATAATTCTTATGTCTAAGTGAAAATTTATTGGACTACTTCAGAGCATATAATTTCTATATAAAGTACTGCATTTTTCTCTAAGAAATTTGTAGACTTAGCCATTTTCACTTTTCCTATTTGACATTCCTTCCCTGTTTCCTTCACACAATCACATTTTATGAGCAAATTTATCTGTCACAGCTAAAGTTGCAGTTTTAGTAGCTAAAAACATGTAATCAATTTCTACCACATGTTGGGTTATTCCTTGGAAAGTTGTATGTCAGTGATAAAATTAGGAAAGCAGAGCAGTGCTGACCACACCCCCTGCTCTCATGCCCCTCCCCCTTTTCTCCCTTGGTGACCACCATAGCCTCTAAGAACCTTCATCTATATGCAAATGACTTCCAAAGCTGTATTTTCTTCATAATTTCAATTACTGTTGCATTTCCAACTGTATATTGGGTCTTTCCACTATCACTTCAAATCAATTCTTCCAAAAGAATTCCTCTTTTTTTTTTTAATTGTAGTTGGACACAATACCTTTATTTTATTTATTTTTATGTGGTGCTGAGGATCGGACACCAATGCCTTGCATGTGCTAGGTGAGTGCTTTACTGCTGAGCCACAACCCCAGCCCCAGAATCATTCTTCTTAATCACCTTCTTTTCACTGCTCAGTGTCAGAGCTTTGGCAGCCATTTTAACTTACCACTTGCTTCTTCTACAAAGGTTTCTCCAAAAGCCTTGACTTTTCTTTCATAATGTCTCAAACCTCTACTTATGTGGCCGAGGCCAGAGGATCACAAGTTCAAGGCCAGCTTTGGCAATTTATTGAAACTCTGTCTTCAGAAAATACACACACACACACACACACACACACACACACACACACACCTCATACTTTAACTTCTATTCTCAGTTACCTCTAATAGGCACTCTCTCCCCATATCACCTTCCCAAAACAGCCCTAGCCCTGGGTGATTTAAAAACATAACAGATAGGTTTAAGAGTGATTCCCTGTTGCCTGTTGAATAAATCCCCAACCTATTAGCCCAAGGTTATAATGTTTCCATGATTTATCTATACCTATGTCTTCACCCTCATTCCTCACACATGTTCCTGTAGTCCACATCCCACAAAGAGACCTGGGCTTTGTCAGTTTTTCACTTTCAATAGCACAATATGCTTATCTGGAGATACCCTTTCTTCCCTTCTCCATCAGTCAGAACTTTGAAAAAGTCCAACTTAAATTCACCTGTTCCCTGAAGCCTTTCTTGACTACTATAGGCAGAAGAGCTGTTGTTGCCTCCTAAGCGATAACACATTATCTGCTACTCATTTATTTTAGAAATCGGTAACATTTGGAATAGACCGTCTTTCTGAACATCTATTAGATTCATAACATATGCATTAAATACTATCTCATAATTACTTTCCATGGAAAGTTTCAAAGGTCCTCTGTTTCTCTGTGTGATTGACATCCTGAAAGAACTTTGGTAGAGAAAACATTTAAAACCACTCAGTTTGCAATCACACCATCTACAGAGCTCAGCATATGATTCAAACATTGCTGTGAGAATGGGCAATTTCACAGGCTCCTCTTTTGTAAAAAGAAGATGATAAACCCATTTTGAAAGATTATTTTAAAGGTTAATTAAAATAGCATATGCAAAGATATCAATCACAGAGGCAATCAATAGATGTGAGTTATTTCCCTCTGTGTCCTCCAAGTAGCTCACTCACAGTGGGAATTTGGTGAAAATCAGAATGATAACACGCTCTGTTCCAAAAATTTAAACTTTTAACACTTCTTAGAAAAGAAGTTTCTCAGTCTCATCACAATGAAAACACACATAAATTATTGTGTAGGAGCTAGGTGTGGAGGCATGCCTGTAATCCTGGGACTCAGGAGGCTGAGGCCAGAGGATCACAAGTTCAAGGCCAGCTTTGGCAATTTATGGAAACTCTGTCTTCAGAAAATGCAAAGGACTAGGAATGCAGTTCAGTGGTAATGAGCCCTAGGGTTCACTCTCCAGTACAGTAAAAGCGAAACAGAGAGTAAAAGGATTGACAATATGAACTAGTGCCTGTCTGTGGATAACCTTGATTGTCAAGCTCTAGACTGTTTTTCTCGGTCTGCAATAAGACAGGCTGAAACACTTGAACAAAGAGTTGTGTGAACTATTGCTCTGTTTTTCATTTGCTCCCACTGTACCATGATGGAAACAACCAGAGTGGTATTTACAAAGGAACTGACTTCGTTTCAGAAGTCTGCCCTAATGTCCTGGCCTTGACAGTGAACGGCTATATAATCACAGGCAAATCCCTTTGCCTTCCTGAATTCTGTCTTTTTTTTAATCTATAAAAGAGAACTAATAATTCCCTGCTCATAGAACTTCTTTCAGTATTAAGTGAGATGAAATATGTAAAATATAATTAATGAGACATGAAGTATCACCTCAATGTAAAATATAACAAGTCTTCTTCATAAATTATAGTTTACTAAAGTTAGATTTGATGAGATATACCATATGTAACTCTCATCAATGGCTGTAGTCCCAGTGGCTCAGGAGGCTGGAGCAGAAGGATTGCAAGTTCAAAGCCAATCTTAGCAACTTAGTGAGGCCCTAAGACAACTCAGTAAGACATTGTCTCTAAATAAAAAACAAAAAATGGATGGGGATGTGGCTCAGTAGTTAAGTGCCCTTGGGTTCAATCCCCAGTATCAAAAAAAAAAAAAAAAAAAAAGAAAAGAAAAAAGAAAGGAAGCTACAGGTCTTTGTTTATGGTGGAATGGGAGTTTAATTATAATAATGGAATTGAATCTCATTTCACAGAGAGCTGAAGCTACAAAGAAAATAACAGTACCAAAAGCAGTGGTCCCTGTAAGATGGGCTTGTTTAGCTGCTGTTTGTCCTTTTCTCCCTTTTCTGGTCTCAGTGCTGCCAGATTTCAAAAGCAGGCTGAAATTCCATAAAGCAAAAATAATGTGATTTAACTGTTTACTAAATGCATAAGACAACATTGAATACTGGAAAAAAGTAATAACATTACATCAAGTTAAACTAAATCCAGTAGGCAGAAAATTCAATAGAATGTTGCAAAACAAAAGCACACATTTTGCTCTGAGCCCTAAAGACCAACAAGGGAATGGCAATGACGAAACCTCCATGTGGAAAGTTGGGTTTCTGTGTTCAGGTATGAGAACAGATGAGAGTAGCACCCGAGTTGTCTGGGCTGCTGTGATGTTGGATATGGAGGTAATTAGGCCCCAGATCTTGCCTGGTTTTAAGGAGCAAAGATAATTCAATACAAATTCAGAAATCAGCCCACAAATTGCAAACTGAATTAAGAAACAAGTAATAATCATTAATATTGTTTATATTTCTTGATATCATTTGAAGAGTATTCATCACTGATTTTCTAGTGGCAGGGAAGATTATATTTCTCTGGAAATAATACAGAAACACTGTTGTATACAGAAGTAAGCTATGGATACCTGGGTTGTAATATTCTACTATTACTAGTTACTGAAAATGAACTTAGCATAAGGATGTACATGAAAAAAAGTTTGGTCCAAATTCTAGCCCTTGTTATATATTTTAATTATTTCTGGTTTGTGTTTGAGCCTTCAGGCTTGGTAGTCTTCTCATTTAAGTGAAGGAAATGAAAAATCGAAACACATATCACTTTTAATTAAAATTCTAATATCAAAAGATATTGAGCAGTCTCCCCTGATAAAATCGGTCCCAACAGTGCTTTTGTCTTTACAGTTAATGATTAATTTAATGATTTTCCATGCTATTTTTTATACTCGGATCTATATTGCTTGATGAGGAGGTAGGACTTTACTATTTCTAAGTTATAACATGGCATAAAAAGAACTGCCTGCAGAAGAATTAGGCTCCTTATTGGAATAGGTATGGAAGATCCTGGCTTAATGCAATATGCAAGGCCAATTAGTTGCAGAGATCTGAAGGTTATGGGAATGAACTATTTTTAAATACTGGAACCAATCTTTAGATTTCTTAATAGATCAAAAATATCTGTAAGTTAAGTTTTAAGCTTTATGTTTTATTGAAAAAAAAATAAAAGGCCCTCTTTAATTTTTCAGGTCTTCAGGAATGCCTTCTTACCAGCTTTACTTTAAGGAAACATGTCCAACTCTTGGGTGCTTTCCAGAGAAATGAAAAGACAATCAGGCTATCATCAGATTTCTCAAGAAAAATCTTCAGATTTCTAAGTAAAAAAACTATTTTCAATCTAGAATTCTATACTTGGCTAAACTATCAATAAAGTCTGAGTAGGCAATAAAGAAATTTTTAGATTTTCAAGAACTCAAAGTATTTCTTCTGATTTATCATCATATTATACTGTATATAACTTACCTTATTTCTGTACATTCTAATAATTTTTATTGTGGTAAAATATATATAACATAAAATTAGCCCTTTTAGCAAGCTCTAATTGCACAGCTGAGTAGCATTAAGTAAACTTTGGTTGTTGTGCAGCTGTCTCCACTGTCCTTTCCAGAACTTTCCAGAAACATCAAATCCATTAAGATAATAGCTTATCCATTATCCCCTCCTCAGTCCTGACAACCCACCATTCTACTGTCTGTCTCTGTGAATTTGACTATTTTAGGTACTTCATATAAGTATAATCAGAAATATTGACCCAATTGTGTTTGGCTTATTTCACAGAGTATGTTTTCAAGGTCCACTTGCATTAACATATATAAAATGTTCATTCCTTTTTATGACTGCATAATATTACCTTGTTTGAATCTACCACGTTTTGTTTATCCATTTATCCATCAATAAACTTTTGGGTTATTTCTACCTTTTGGTTCTCATAAATAACAGTGAACATTGGTGTATAAATATCTATTCTACTTCTTGCTTTAAATTCTTTTTTTTATTAGTTACACACGACAGTACAATGATCCTGACATATCATACATTTGAATCAAATAGGGTATAATTTCTCATTTTTCTGAGTGTACAGGTTGCAGAATCACAAGAAGTGGAGATGCTAAGCCATATGATAATTTATATTTGATTTTTTTAGAAATTTTCATACCGTTTTCCATAGCAGCTGCATTATTTTATATTTCCACCAGCAAAGCACAAAGGTTCCAATTCCTGTATCCCCTCCAACACATGTTATTTTCTGTTTGTTTTGGTTCTGCCTGTAGTAGCCATCCTAATGGACGTGAAACAGAATCACATTATAGTTTTGGTCTGCATTTCTCCAATAGTTAATGATATTGATAATCTTTTTCTATTGACTATTTGTATAACTTCTTTGTGAGAAATGTCTAGTAAAGTCCTTTATGCCCCCCGCCACCCTTGCCTTTTTTTTTTTTTAAACTTTGGTGGTTTTTTCTGTTGTTGAGTTGTAGGAGTACTTTACATGTTAATATATTACCCTTTATCAGATATAAAAATTCCAAATACTTTCTCTGCATTACCCTTACAATCCTTTAATAGTGTCCTTTAATGTACTAACATTTCTGATTTTTAATGAAGTCTGATTTATCTATTTCTTTCTTCTGTTTACCTTTGTTTTGGTGTCTTAGCCAATAAATCATTGCCAATTCAATGTCAGAAAGATTTTCCCCAATGTTTTCTTCTAATTTTTTAATGACTTTTTTAGCTCTTATATTGAAGTCTTTCATTCATTTTGATTTAATTTTCGTATATGTTAAAGATTCAACTTCTTTCTTTAGCATATGGATGTCCAGTTTTTTAGCAACATTTGATAAAAAGAGTATCTTCTACTCAAGGAATGGTCTTGGAAATCTTGTCAAAAGTCATTTGACTATATTGGTGAGGGTTTATTTCTGGGATTTCTATTTTGTTGCATTGATCTACATGTCTGTCTTTATGATACTAATATTTACTTTAAGAGTTGCTTAAGTAAGTATTCCAAAGAAACCAAGAAAGAAGACCAGATAGATACTTTAGAAGACGAAAGTACCAAATCAGAACAGTGGTAAACAATTCTCAAATAATATTTTACTGAAACCAAGGGAGAAACAGTCCAGATTGAAGCAAGTCAGAAGTTTTCTGATGCAAGTCTTAGGGGTATGAAGGGATTTGATTAATTAGAAAGAATGAGAGTGTGATAGTCAACTTCTGCTCACAGTGAACAAAATATTGAGAAAGACAAGAACAATATTGAGAAAGAAAAGTTTATTTTGGCTCATGGTCTCAGAGGTTTAGTCCATAGTCAGCTGACTCCATTGCTCTGCGCCCAAGATCAGACAGAACATCATGGCGGAAGGGCATAATCTCTATTATGCTGCCCACCTCCTAGTGACTAGGAAGTGGGGTTGGGGGAGATGAAACCTTCCATGGCATGCTTCCAGTGATCCACATCCACCAGTCATGCCCCACCTGCCTACAGTTACCATCCAGTTAGTCCATTCAAACACACATGGGCTAATTGCGTTACAGTTCTCACATTGGAAATATTTCACCCATCATTCCTGCATTCACACTAGAGTTTTCTTGAGGACGCCTCATATTCAAACAATTACAGAGAATTTTGATAAATATGAAAATATGGTAAAGACATGTGGTGGAGCAATTCCTGATTGGAGGGACAATTCCTTTGAGTAGCATCACAACTGTGACATCGGATCTGCAGGAAACAAAATTTACATACTTCTAATATTATAAACTTTGAATTGTTCATTAAATTGTCAATTTAAAAATTAATTCACAAACAATTATGAATACTGTCTGAAAATGTTGTAAAACAACAAACAACAATAAGTAATGAACATTGATGAAGAAGTTGAGAGATTGTTAAAGTACTGTGAAGGAATTAGAAGCAGTCATTTTTAAAGGGTTGCCCCTGAAGAGCAAAGCTGGAGGAAAATAGGAAAGCTGGAGAAGCAGACTCTCTTCATTGCATGCACTTCTATTTGATTTTTTAAACACATGCATGTCTTGTTTGGATAGTGTAAAATAAAATACAAGTTGCAATGCCAAATAAAAACTACAAGATCATATTAGAATTCATAAACCAGAACAATTTGGGGTAATGGTGAGATTACAAAACATTTTTCAGTTGACTAAGAAGTCAGTGGTGGGTTTTCTTAAGTAGTTGGGACACCATCTGCATTCCATTGAAATAGAACTACTGTAGAGTCATCTTAGAGCATCTCTAAAATCAAAATGTAAATCATTGGATTAAAAGCTTTTCTTTAAAACTTTAATTCATGAATCACTTATTTGTAAAATGAAGATAACTAAAAATCCTGAAGTTATATCTGAATTTATAAGCAGTAAAGTTTTATTGAACTAGTATCCATGTATTTGAGTTCTATCCTGGAAAACATACCAAAATCACAATATAAACCACTAATTTCTGAAAAAAAAACCATGAGGTTCATGTCTCAGTTTTTACCAAGAGTCCAATCTGTAAGATATGTTAATGGTTATTGATGCTAATATGTATGCACAAACACAAATAGTTTTTGGTTAGCCAATTATATATGTGTGTGTGTGTGTGTGTGTAATAGAAGGTTGATAGCATCAAGAAGTCACTACTAAAAATAAGGAAAGGGACCCTGAAAAACAACTAAGATATAAGAACTTGAAACAAAAAAATATCAGCTGGAGGCCAGTCAGTTTGCTGACAGATCTTCTCAAGGGAAGAGAAGGTGCAGTTCAACATGGCTGTAATTAGTAGGACAAATAACTTCCTCTATGTTGACGATTCTCAACTCTAGATTTCTAACTGGAGACCATTCTTCGGCACACCAGATAAATTTCTGGAACTGCAGAGGGAATGTCACCAGTTGGATATTCCACAGACTCTTCAAATTCCTCATTCTTATTCTCCTTCTGAATTGGCAACCTTTTCTGGATCTCCTGCACCCCTGCACATCAATTCCTGTGTACTAATCTACCCTTTACACAGCTGCAAGCCTTTATACACATTCCTTCCTCTACTTGCTTTGCCTTGTTTTCTGACACGGATCCCTGGAAAAAAATATACCTGTCAAATGTCTACTTGTTTGCCAGATGCAAGAGTGGGAGCATGTGAGGCTGCATTAAAATTTCCTAGACCTTCCTGGGTCTCCAAAAGCATCTCACTGAGCTCTGTTTAGACAGACTACTCTTGCGGTGCCTAAAATGTCACTCACACTTGAATGTATCCCTCTACAGGACTGCTGGCTTCTCAAAGTGGCCATCTGAATCTTGATTGCCATTGTCCACTCAATATCTTAGTCCCAGGCACCTGCTAGCTGCCTCATAAATGTTCATGAATCAATGATTGAGCGATGTAGCTGATATCTAAATATTTTTAACAAGTACAAAAATACCAACAAGCAATACTTTCCCAGTAAACACAGGAAAGATGCTCAACATTACAAGTGTGGGGGGTAGCAATGATTTAGAATGTTAAAGATGAAGAAGACTGACAACTTCTAGTGTTAGTTCAGATATATGAAATTGACATTTTCATGCACATTTGGTGAGACTATAAGATTTTGCAACTATTACTACAACCAGCTTGGCAATCATTATTAGATAGTTGGCTCATAAATCTCACTTCTGGAATTTTATCTGACAGGGAAAAAAGTACAGTAAAGAGATGAATATGTAGGTTTATTGTAGAATTGATTTAGTAGCACTTTTCCCCTGAACACACAAAGCAACAGACAACAAATAAAAACAAAAGCAAAACAACAACAATCCCCCACCACCCTCCCAAAACCACTGTGTCTAGGATATAGCTCAGTGATAGAGCCCTTGACTAACATGGGTGAAGCCCTGGATTCAGTCGACTAGCACTGGAAAAACAAAGCAAACAAACAAACAAACAAAAATACTCCTAGAAACTTAAATGCTTAACAGTAGAGGAATCAGTATACAAAATCATGACACATCCATACTGTGGAAAAATACAGAGTGAAGTAGATCTATGTATATTGACTTGGAAGAAATTGTCTAAAATACAATGACTCAAAAAAGCAAGTTGCAGAATAATATGTATCACATGATACAATTTTATAATACTCTTGTACAAGCAAAAGAAATACAGAAAGATAAAATTGTCAGAGTAATGTGAAAGAAGACTGATTTTGCTTTATATAGTTATAAATCATTTGAATTTAAAAGTATTTTCAAATAAATAACTACTTGATACGTGGAAAAATAAAGGAAATTTAACAGACACCCGTCTACCAATTACCTAGGTACATTAAATATCAATATTGTGACATATTTTATTCAACTCTTTTTTAAAAGGAAAAAAGTGTCACAGAGCTAAAGTCATTTCGCCCACATCCCTGTTCCCACTCTTCCTCCCACTCTCCCCAGAGGTAACCGTTACTTTGATGTTAGGATGAATCCTTCCTGCACATGATTCTATAATATGTCGTCTATGCATTTGTACACCCACACACATTCAATAACAACAGAGATCTCTTTCTTTACATTTATATAACTGGTATCATTTTTATTGGTTCTTTTTTAGTTACACAATGACAATAGAATTTATTTTGACATAATTATAGAAGCATGGAATAGAACTTGCTGTAATTCAGTCCCCATACTTATTTTTTGTATTCAACATTTCTTTCTAGAATTGTCCACATTTGTGTAGTTAATTCATTTTAATTACCTATAGTGTTCTGTTGTATAACCTCACCATAGTTTATTTATTCTGCTGTTGATGGAGATGAGTGATTGAATATGGTATGCATCTTATTGAGTGCATGTGAAGGAGTTTTTCCAGGTTATGGAGCAAAAAGTGGAGTTGTGGATCACAGGACAATTTATTTATTTATTTATCATTTTATTTATTTATTTATTTGGAC